GTCCCCTCCAATAGAGGGGGATATTAAAGCTCACTTCTTTTAAAAAAAAAGAGAGCGGGAGAGAAAAGTGAAGTTAATTTTAAACCAGAAAACATTCCTGTTCCCACAATGAAGTAACCAGACCAAGGTGGGCAACTGTAACCCTCCAAATGGTTTTGCCCTACAAGTTCCAACAGGTCCAGCCAAAGGTAAGGGACTGTAGGAGTTGCCAATCAAAAATATTGGGATGACCAGATTTATCCATTCCTGAACTAGACATCACTAAAATAGAGATTTGCAGGGCCAGTAAAATAGCACCAATGATGCTAGCTGGTTTATGGTAGCTTTGGAGTTATACAGAACTCTTCTTCAGATTGGATTTTCAAATAAGAAAATGTAGGGATAGGGACTTGCCTTAATTCAGATTAATTTATTTAGGATCACTAAATCAAATTATGGGCAAATCCTTCATTTGTGCATCCTTTGCAGCAATCCTGAGAGCAATGCAGAAGTCCTTCATCATCCATACTGAATTGTGGCCTAAATCCAATTGTTAATCTAAGTTCAAGTAGATCCACTGAATCAATGGGAATTTGGTAATCAACACTTATGGTAAATTCTATTTGTCTATTCTAGATGGGACTAACAATGGATTTACACCTATCACTACCAGCTTTGGAAAGGCCAGTACTCTAAACCCATGGTTTGTCATGTTGAATATAAACTATTGTTAATTAAAAGCATCTTGGTTTCATTCATGCAAAGAAATTGTGTGTGGTCAAAAGGCCTAGTAAATCATAGCCAGTATGAAAGTTGTCATCAATAGACATAGTTGATACAAGACATTTTGCAGCCTGAAACATAGCAACAAATGATGCTCTAATACATCAAAGTGCATAGTACCTGATGCCACACATTTAATCACAAAATGAATAATACTCCCTCCAAACCCTCCCCCCTTTCCTACAGTAAAAATACAATCCAACAAACAACTGGTAATTTGCTGTCTTGTATGACAGCCCAAATCTGCTCCTCTCAAATTTACTCTGCCTATTGGTAGGGCCATCCCTCTTTGTACATAGACTTAATAGCTGGAAGGAGCTGTTTCAAATTTAAATCAGACATTTTTATCATGAACTAAATTATCATGCTATGCAGACTCACACTAGAATATAGGGCTCCTAGAATTAGAGCTTCCTTTTAAAATGTAACAAGAAAGCAATATATTAGTAGCTTTTTGAGATCTGCTGATTAAATTTGCTACATTATGAGGGATGTTTTATTGTTGAGGAACTGAATCAGAAGTACGCAAAGTACAGATCCATGGCTATTCCCAAAATTGATTTGCGTTTCCAAGCCTTTTAGAGACCGAGTGCCAAACTGCAACCGAAAACCCACTTATTTATCACAAAGTGCCATGTCCCTCTGGCTTTCTAGTAATGAACTGTGGCGAACTCTGTGTTGGGGCGATAGAATGCATGCCCACATAGAGGGCTCTGAGTACCCCCTCTGGCATGCATGCCATAGGTTTGCTACCACTGTATATACTGAATATTAACATCTCTTTAGAGTTTCAGGCAGGTATCAATAATGCTACCAAAGTGAAAGGCAGTAGGAAAAAAGGAAGATTGTATTACAGATGAATAGATTCAAACAAGGAAGCCACAGCCCTGAGTTTGCAAGACTTGAGCAGGGCTGTTGATGACAGGGTAACTTGGAGGTCTCTCCTTCATAGGATCACCATAAATCAAAGTCAACTTAATTGCAGTTAACAACAAAAGAAGACAGAGGATGGAATTGGCTAGAGCATCTCTTCCCTTACTTACCCCAGCTTTTCCATACTTTTCCATTGCTCAGAGCTGAATTCCAAAGGATAGATTAAGCAAGAACTTGGAAAAACTTGGAAAAGATACTATTCTAAGCTCTGGAGATGACAATATAATGAGAATTAGTGGAATAGTATAGCTTGTGCATATGATATTAATACAATTTTTGTGCCAAAATGTCTTGAGATTGGCTTGTTTTTGGTGGGTTCCCCCTCCTCATTAACATCCTATGACCTTCCACTTTATGCCATATCTGCAGAATAATCCTCATGCCATTTCATTCCCACAGCTATGGCTGATTTGAAAAATAAACTCAAATATATAAATTGGGTGATTGCATTGACTTAACTAATATAGAAGCACAATTTACATGTAAAAATCTCTTAATAACCTGAATTTCAACATACTCTACAATACTTCAAGTATATCATGCCGTGCTATTTTGTAACTTCAATTTCCAGCTAACGAGGAGTTCCTCTAATGAAAATAATGATTTTTTCATGCTGTACCAGATGGTAATTTGAAGCATTTCAATTAAACAAACCATCTCATTAGAGTGCCTTGATAATGCAGTTGAGTTTTCTTTGATATGGTCAGAAATATCTCACATGCTTTTGGGATGCAATCAAAACTCTCCAATAAACTTGTTGCTAAAAAGACAGCTGCCTTGGACATGTATTTTCATAGCAATCAAATGACCTAGTTTAGAAGTGTTTGAAGCCATTTCAAGTGGAATAGGAACAAATTAACCTTGTTTAACAAGTAGCGTTCAATTTGTGCTCTAACACTCTTTTGAGCTCTGTCTATGCGTTATTTTATTTCTTCTGTTACATAATGCATACTCATCAGGCCTCCATTAAGAACAGTGTTTCTCCTGTGGTAGTCCCCCCAATAAATTCACAGTGGCACTATTGTCTCTTGTGCCACTTGATTCAAAATCTGAGGATTGTTTTCCCCCTCTCTGTTTATGTTGGAGGCCAAAGAAATCTGCCCCCAACTTTATAGGCAAGATTTGAGATAGGTGGGCAAAGAAAAAAGTTCAGTAATGCAGCCAGGTAATTTTAAAACATGGATTTAATAGTCAAAAGGGGGAAAGGATTAGATTACCATGTGTATTATTTCATTTGGAAACTGCATAATTAATATTTCTATCTCTCTGCTCTTATTCCACGTTACATTCTCAACAGGACTTGTGATATACAATTTTCACTGAACTTAAAAATGCAGAAAGCTACCTTATGCTTCTGTAGTGAGCAACTTCTAGAGGTCAGAAGGGAACTGCATCCTCTCAACCCTCACCAAACCACCTTCATGCACCTCCATGTGGTACACAATTCACCATTCCTCAACATGCCCTGCACCTGACTCACTTCCATAGAGGCCTTTTTTCCAAAACTGGAAGTGACTAAACAGATCAGAGAAGCTAAAAAATGTAATTAAATGGCTAACCACCTCCCAGACTGTGCAATTAGCCATTTATAGGTAAAAAAATAATAATGGAGGGCTGTTGGGACTTCGGGAAGCGAAACAAAACTGGCAATAGGGTATACTTTGCTCACTCCTGTTATAGT